GTGGAAGACCGAGCACATGCAGCTGTGCGATTTCCACGGCATCAAATGGCCCATCGACTTGTCAGAGGCTCGGGCAGGCGTCCGCTTCAACGGGTTGCTGCCGCAACAACGGGAGGTGTTGTACATCGTGGATCACTTGTTTCCTCGCTCTGTCAGTGATGAGCATGTGATCGAGTTCTTCGACGTCAACCCGCCAATCAATCGGACCTGCCTGGGCTGCCTGGAGGATGGTAAGTACGCGAGGAAGCCGAAGCAGGAAGCGGGGCCATGGCGCCAGCATCCAGTCACGCTGATTGGGTCGTCGAAGATCATCTGCAGGTACGTCGACAGGGGCACTGGAGTAGTTGTCGCCCGCGCGCTCGAGGCGTTCGAGTACTTTCGGCTGATCGGCTGGTTCGACGAGTGCTGGGCCAAGATGCCTAAGGAGCTGAGTGAGAATGTCGAGTTCTTGGAGATGTGCGCCAACATGGCTGGCAACGCCTACAGCATCTACCAGTTCGGCCCCGTCTCCTGCGCGCTCTTCGCGACGATCGGGCGTTTCCACTCGGCCTTCGTCGACCAGGCCCCCGCCGAGGGGTCCCGGGGCACCAAGGCGGAGGTGGTGGACCTTGATGTTCCTGCACAGCCTGAGGAGGCCGCGCTAGACTTGGTCGACCTTAGCTCCGACTCGGAGTTAAGCGGAAGCTCGGATTAGGCAGGCTTCCCACTGTCCTCCTCGTGCTCCATTGCCCTCCTCCCCCTCGCCAGCCCATCGCCTTGCCCCTCCTCCTGCCCTTGCTTCCACAATGACAATATTCCACTCAGCCCCCTCCGCCCTCCAGCCGTCGAGCATCATGATCGTGCGTTTTCGGGTTGGCCGATCTGGAGTGCCCACGCGCTGGCCGTGGAGCGCCAGGGATGCCTGTTGGAGTGATTTGTAGATAGATGGTGCTGCGCATCGTCGCGGGAAATACTGATGCCCGAGCTCGAAGTCGCAATTCGAGACGCTTCGGGCATTCCCATCAGCCCATCCAGAAACGATGTCCAGGCGAGTTGGGGTGATCACAGGAAACAACCAAAACGAAGAAAGGAGGAAACGAGGAAAGGACGAAACGAGGAAAGGAGGAAACGAGGAAACAACCAAAACGAGGAAACAACCGAAACGCTCGAAGGAGGGAGGAGGAGAAGGAGGAGGCTGGCTGGATGGATGATGATGTGATGGAGAAGGAGGCCTGAGGAGGGGGGGAGGAGGCTGGATGGATGATGGAGTGATGAAGCAGTCCGCCGTGAAAACCCATTTCATTTCGTCATATCCTCCTCTGGGAAGGGTCTTCGTCGTAGTCGTCGTCGTCGTCGTCGTCGTCGTCGTCTTACTTCGACCAGACCTTCATTGCGCAGGCCCGCGACGCGCGCTTGCAGCTCGCGTTGTCGTTGTCGTCGTCGTCGTCGTCGTCGTCGTCGTCGTCGTCTTACTTCGACCAGACCTTCGTGGCGCAGGCCCGCGACGCGTGCCTGCGCGCACGCGTGCCCGCGAGGAGGAGGAGGAGGAGGAGGAGGAGGAGGAAGAGGAAGAGGAGAAGGAAGAGGAGGGCGGCAGGGCGAGGTCGTGGGCGAGGACGAGGGCGGCAGGAGGAGGAGGGGGAGGACCAGGAGGCAGACGGCTGGGGGCGTCAGCAGCATTATCAGCAGCATCACGTTCCCATCGTCTGCATCGTCATCATCATCAGCATCATCATCATCATCATCATCATCCTCCTCATCCTCCTCATCCTCATCAGCATCAGCAGCATCATCAGCATCATCAGCATCATCAGCATCATCAGCATCATCAGCATCATCATCATCAGCAGCATCAGCATCAGCATCAGTATGATCATCAAGGCAGATGGGGTCCCCGCAGCTTTGTGGCTTCAGCACTTGCAGGCCTTGGGCACTTGAGACCCTGGTTGTTGCTGGCGCTTTGCACCCCTCCGATCCCTATCTGCATCCCTGGGCGCCGAGGCTCGGCCATGGACCACTCGCGCGGGCCTGCCACAGGGCGTCGCCTCGGCAGGCGCCGCCGCGACGCCGAGGAGGAGCCCGCCTCCGCCATCAAGCACGCCCGAGCCGACAGCACGGGCGTCGCTGCCGGCGCGTCTCCGGGCGCGGCGCAGCCTTTCGTCGACCTAGGGCGGCCCGTCGACCCAGGGCGGGTCGCCAGGCGCGCCCGCGCCGACGGCGACGACGTTTTCGAGCAGCCCGAGCCCATGGCGATCGGCCTCCCTCCCGCCAAGATGCCCCGCCTGTCGCGGATGTCGAGGTCAGCAGCGGGCTCGGCGGCGTCGCACGAGGGCGAGGAGGCCAGCGGCGGCGCCATCGTGCTCAAGACCTTCGGCCAGTCGACCAGGCAGACTGTGGCGTCGTGCCCTGACGGCCGCGCGTGCAGGCTTTGCCCGCGCCGGGGCACCGACGACGACCCAGTGGAGGCTGCGAGGCAGCCCCCCGTGAAGATGTTTATGTGGTGGGGCAAGCCGCCAGATATCAATACTGGCAAGTCTTGCGGGAACTACTGCGGATATTGCACAAAGTATTTCGTCTCGCACATCAAAAAGGCTTTCACCGAAGGCAAGCTCAGTCTCGCCGAGTACGAGAAACTGCTGGCCGAGACCGAGGGGGGGCTCCAGAAGCACCAGGGCGCGGTCACGGCTGGTATCGAGGCCATCATCGAGAAGGGCGGCAATCGCTCGACCCACCTGGACTGGAACGAGGCGGAGGTGAAGGCCCTCGAGTATAACGAGAGAGAGCGGGTGAAGACGTCGAGGCCTGGGTACTCCCACGTTGAGCTCAAGTACTACTACGCTCACCACCACAAGGAGATCCGCGCAGATCTGGGCCACTTCAGGAGCGCGTGGGACGGCGTGGATGGAGTCATGATTCCAGACGCGCCAGTCACGAAGATCTCCTTCGAGAGCGTGCAGGAGTCGGTGCTTCGCAAGAACCTCGGCTCCACCAGCAGCGGCGCCACTGCAGACGACCTTGCCAGGCAGCAGAGGGCCATTGCAGGCCGCTTCGGCCCCGCGCCGCGGATGTCAGACGGCTCCGCGGTGGTGGCCCTCCTTGGGGGCGAGCCCAAGGGTGGCGGGGAGGGTCGGCCGCAGCCCCTCCCCGCGGCTTCGCCGCAGGGGCAGCGGGCGCCGCCTGGGGCCGCCGCCGATTCACCGCCGCCAGGTCAGCAGCCGCCAGCGCCGCGCGTGCAGTCTCCTGGCGCAGGTGGGCAGCAGGGCGCTGGCGAAGGTTCCCCGGCGGGGGCGCCTGCCCAGGGCGCTGGCGACGACAGGGCCGCCGTTAGAAAGGGTGCTAAACCAAAGGGGGGCGAGGCGAAGAAGCGAGGGCGCCCACCCAAGGACATGAAGGAGAAGGTCGAGACCGAGGAGACCGAGATGCGCAATGCGGCGCCGGATGCCCCTACCTGGTGGGGCGGAGAGACGAAGCCCAAGTTGAAGGTTCTGAGGGACTTGCTCAAGGAGATTGGGGACAAGCTGAAGAAGGTCAAGGAGGCTTCGGAGAGCGACGTGTTGACGGTGGCTCACAAGGCCCTCACTGCAATCATCGCCATCGTGGAGGTCGTCAGCGCCAACGGGCTGGAGAGCCAGCAGTTCCGCGAGGTGTTCGATTTCCAGCAGACCGCCCTCAGGCTCGAGCCCGCGAGGATCGGGGCGTACCCTCCTCCCCAACCCCAGCAGCTCATCGGCCCCCTCTCCTGCTCCCTGCGCGGGGGGCCGATGTGCATCTGGCGACTGGGGCGGAAGGATGTCCTGGGAGGAAAGTAGAGTGGCCGCCCCACATTTTATGGGCCCGCCACAAGCTTGACATTGCTGGCACGGAAGACGATGCGAGGTTTCTCATCCGGGTGGGCAGCGCTGAGCTCAGGAAGAACGGCCTTCCAGAACCGCTGCGTGAACAGACGCGCCTCTTGTCCGAGCGCCTGTCTCGTCACATGAAGCTGCCGGAGAGCAAGGCCATGAGCGCGCTGCGCTCATTGTTCGATGTGGAGCGCGACTCAGACCTGGAGCCGTCCGTGGACGCATTCGTGATGAACTTGAGCACCATCCTGCGCGCCGAGAAGTTCGACTCCCTCGATGCCACCATCGATTGCTTGCAGGAGGCCGTGGACAACATGATTGCCGCACACCTCCCCGACCCGAAGACTGGCGCGCGCGGCGACATGCTGGGCGGCACCCTCATGAGCCGCCCGCTGGGCGGCAAGATCATGGCTGACGCTAACGTGTACCTGAACAAGGCCAGGGCTACGAGCGACGCCTGCGACGAGCTGGAGCGCAAGCTCGTGTTGGTGCAGGATGCCGTCCGGACGGGTGGGACTCAAGATGGGCTTCGGCCCGTCTCCCTCTCTTTCTTTATTTCTGTCTGTCTGTCTGTCTGTCTGTCTGTCTGTCTGTCTGTCTGTCTGTCTGTCTGTCTCTCGCTCCCTCTCTCTCTCTCTCTGTTTCCTCTCTGCTTCCTCTCCCTCTCCTTCTCCCTATCTTTTTTTTGCTCTCTCTCTCTCTCACGCTCTCTCTCTCTCTCTCTCTCTCTCTCGTCCTTCTCTCTCTCTCCCTCTCTCTCTCTCTCTCTCTCTCTCTCTCTCTCTCTCTCTCTCTCTCTCTCTCTCTCTCTCTCTCTCTCTCTCTCTCTCTCTCTCTCTCTCCCCTTCCCCCCCTCACGCTCCTCCTTGCACTCCCCCCTCCTCCCCCCCCCCTCTTGGCCCCCCCTTCCCCTCTTCAATATCGTGTCGAGTGTCTGGGGCGACCTTCGGGCTGAGGCCCCGCGTGCCATCTTGGATTCCTGTCGGGCTCTTGGACCGTCCTGAATCCTTCCAGGAGCTATCTCGGGCTCCCCGAGACGGCCCCGGGGGGCCGCTGGGCGGCCCCGCGAGGGCCCCAATGGGCCCCCCTGCGGGCCCCTCCTGGGGCCCTACATCGTTTTTTCTTGAGGCCCCTGGCGGTGGGCGCCACCGGGGGGCCGCCCCACTCACCGCTGCCCAGGTCGCGCTTACACACTCCGCTCAGCGCATGAAGGACGTCCCGAGCGACCAGGTGGAGACCGCTGCGAGGGCCGTGGTGGCGGTTGGCCGCTGGGTCGGAGGGTCCGCGAAGGCGAATATCCTCCCCGCCTTCCTGCCCGATCCGCTCGACGAATGCTTCGACCCGATTCGGAAGTGGGTTGCGATGTTGAGCATCGGCATCAAGGTGGAGCTCGAGGGTGTGTTGACGCGCACTGCCACGGTGGAGAGCGTGAAGGAGTGGGTCGGCGAGGGCATCGGGTCGAGGCTTCCATGGTCGTTGTCGACTTCCTGTCCCGCCCTTCCAATCCCCGCCCTCCTCCGCCTACCCTCCCCCGCCCTCGCCTCCCTCAACGTTCCTCTTCCCCTCCCTTAGCTTTCCGTCGCCTGCCTCCTCCCCGCCTTCCCTGTCCTCGACCACCCCCCGCCACTTCTCCCGTTCGGCGTCCCTCCCTCCGCGGCAGGGATGTCATCCGGGTGTTCGTCGACATCTTCCAGGCGAGCCGTGACCACGTCTCCGCCGTCGCGCCGCAGAAGCCGTTCGACTTCCTCATGCAGGGGGTCGCCGTCATGGAGTGGGTCGCGAGCGCCGCGTGCATGGTGACCCGCGAGGGCGATGATCAGTACTCGGTCGAGTTCTTCAAGCGCATGGCCAAGGGTCTGAGGGACCACCTTGAGAAGCCGCTTCCCTCGGCTGAGGATTGCGAGCCTTGGCAACCGCATGAAGTCGAGTGGGCGAAGGACGCCACCGAGCAGTTCCTGTCGTCTCCCTTCATCTGCGGCGAGGGAGGAGCGAGCTGGGTCGGACCAAGCAGGGAGGCGGGGGGGGCCCCCCTCCTCCTCGCAGGACCCCCTCCCCCCCTTGCTCACTCCCTCCATCCTGCCCTGCATCTGCTCGCCCTTCCTCCTGGTTCACCCTCTGTCGCCCCTTCCCCCAGGGCCGTTGCTTTCTCGCTCTCCCCGAGGATACGCATCGAAAGTCGCTGGGGCGCTGGAGTCCTATTCGAAGCCTATCGTGGATCCACTTATCACGTTCCTGAAGACCGTGTTCGGCGAGAACAAGCTCGGCGACATCGACCTCGGGAGGGCGGGGGACGTGTCCGCGATCTCGGTGGAGTTGTCGGCATTCTCGCCCGCGCTGTCGTGGGCGGAGGAGGCCGGGGACAAGGCCCTGAGCACGCAGCTCACATACTTGTACAATGCCGCGTCGCTCCTGGTCCACGTCATGAAGATGAAGCGCTTCGCGGATGTCACGTTCGCACCTGGCGCGGCCATGAAGGACGCGAAGGTGACCGAGGAGACGCTCAAGATGGTGTGCGACGGCAGGGCCTCGTACAACGCCTTCGACACTTGCGTCTCCCTCGCGGGGGGCTCCGACCTCTTCGCCGACAACGGGGACCCCTATCACTCCAAGGCCTTCCACTCGATCGTCGACTTCGAGCCGTTCAACAGGTCTATCCGGGCCTGCTTCGTCGCGGTGCAGGGGGCTTTCGGCGGCAGCTGGAGTTCGAACCTCGCCGCATTGCGGGGGGCCATCGAGGAGGGTTGCCCGAACTGGCAGTGGGCCAAGGACACTCTCCTGGACCACGTGGACTTGTGCGACGCGCTCTGCAAGAACGAGAAGTACAGCAGCCTCAGCCCCCTGGCCGCGGAGATCAAGAGGCAGGTGAAGTTGATCAAGCGCGCAGACCACTATCCATGCCTGCCACCCCTGGTCGACCCGAAAGGCTTGAAGGACAGCGTGATCGCGGGCGATCTGGGCATCGAGACCGTCAGCTTCACTTTCGCCATCTACAAGTTGCTGAAATCTTGGCCTGGATCGGTGCTGTCGAAGCCGGAGGCGGAGAAGCAGGTGATCGCATTGAAGAAAAGTCTGGAGCCTTCAAAAGTCCAGCTGTCGGACCAGATTAACTTGGAGCTGAACCGCTGGGAGGACGGCACTCGCCTTGAGACGCCGTTCCAGCCGAGGGCGCCAGCGCCTCCTGCGGCCGCCGCGCCAGCGGCGGAGCCTCCCGCCGTCGAGCCCCCGCTTCCGCCTCCCGAGGCCCCCCCGCCACCGCCCGCGTCTTTGCCAGGCAGCTCCCCGGGCGCGTCTCAGCCCGTAGTGGGCTCGAAGCTCTCCCTGAAAGAGAGGATGAGGCTCTCCCTGAAGAAGAGCTCGGCGGCTGCGTAGGGGAGAGCAGCTCGAGTATTCCTGACACTTCGCGTCTCCCAGGCTGCGGCATTTGGCATCCGCGCTAGTATTCTTGACGCTTCGCGTATCCCCGCCTGGCCATCCAGGGATGATGCCCATCAGAGCTGACGGGAGAAGGGATCTTGGGCTCTCTGAGGCCCTCTTGGGGCCCCGTCCAGACCCTGGGATGGGGGGGCCTCTGCCCCCCAAGCAGGGGGGGGAAGGAGGTTGGAAAAGGAAACGCGCTAGACCACTTGCGCCCTAAAGGGCGGGTGGGCTTCGCGCCTGTGCTGATTCCAGCTCGCGGATTGGGTTGCAGTCCTCGGCGCCCTGGGTTGCGCGCCCTCACCCCCCGTCTCGCCCTCTCACTCTTGCAGCGCCAAGGGGACGTCAGCAGGCGCAGGCGTTTGCCTGCTTGCCAGCCGCCCGCGGCCCAGCGCGATGTTCGACAGCTCTGGCACTCGGAGGGGAGCAGGGGGCAGACGGATGGGTTCGGGGGAATTGGGTGCTTCTTGTGCTGCGGAGCTGTCGCGCTGAACCCAGTTTTTTTTTATCGTGGGTGGCGCAGCGCTGGGCGAGGCCCCCAGCGGGCCTTCGGGGCGCCCGGTGCCCTGCGCCGCTCGCTCTCGCTCGCGCCCCGCGTGGGGTTCGGGCGCAGGCGGGGGCTCCACGACACTGCGGCAGATGTGCCGCATGAAAATGCATCGATTCGCCAGGAAAATGAAGAATCGTCGGGCTCATTTCTGATCACCCGAGCCTCGCCGATTACCGATGGATCTCTGGCTTGATACAGGGGAGGGCCCCTGGGGAGATTTGTGTGCATGTGTCCTCGCTTGGGCCTCTTCCATCAGCTGCGACTCGTTGGTGGCTCTCTGGGGCTCGGCGGAGCGGGATCTTCGCATCTCCGATTCCGCGTGTGGATGCGTTCCTCCGGGGGCCTCTCCGATCGGCGGCTCTTATGCCTCTGTGATCAAACGTTACTCTGGCATGAATTCGTCATTCATCATTATTAGATTCATGTGTATTGTCATTTGCATTATCATTATCATGAATATTATCATTAATGGATCATTCGTATTATTGATTTGTTTTAATAATGTGGTTTAGTTATTAATATGAGTATGTTTAGTATCATTATTGATATCATCATCAATATATCTTTTTTCTTTTATCATTTCTCTCATGGTCTACAGATAGTGATGTGTCCGCACGGGCCAAGCAATGTGGAGGGCGTGCGTGCAGTCGCCCATGCCACAGGTGTGCGGGAGGGCACGGCACCTGGAGGCAGCTTCGGTGGGGGCACACCAGTCCATGCGGATGAGGAGGCCCAGGACCCGTGGGTAGATGAGGCGCGCTCCGTGAGCCTCCCCGTTCACGAAGTTGTGCCAGTTCTCACCGCGCGGCGGTTTGGTAGCCTCGCACATCCAGAGCGCGATGGGTCCCCAGGCGAGGGTGTCGTCTTCGAGGCTGCGGGGCGGGTGAGGCGGCACCGCGTACCACGCGGCCAGCGACGGGTGCACACCCACGTACGTGCGGCCGACATTTGTGGCGGTTCGGCCCTTCGCTTCACGGCGGGGGCCCGGCAGGAGGTGACCTCCGTTGAAAGCGAGACGGGCCGCAAGGTCGCCGCGGGTCCCGTGCCAGAAGACCGTGGGCGTGTCAGTGGTAGGAGCACGGAGGTCCCACGTGAGGTAGGGGAAGATCGTCTCGCCTGAGTTCCCGCCCGAGTCTTCCAGCACCCAAGTGAGTCGGTTCGGGGGCCTCTGCATGATGCCAGTCCACGGCGCCAACGCTTGGAGCGTTGGGTCATGGGTGAATCGAAGATGGTCGTAGAGTCGCAGGGCGTCTTTGATGTCCTCTGTAGTCACGCCACTGTTACCAAGCGCAAAGCCGTTCTGGTACAGGGAGGTGAGGATGCTCGTCGGCGGCACGGGGACCGCTGGGTCGCGCTGGATGGTGCTGCGTAAGTTGCGCGTCGGTGGCCAGAGGGCTGGGTGGGGCGTACCAGGGCCTGAAGGCGCCTGGGGCCTGGCGGGTGATGCGTGGCGTGCTCGCCGTCGTGGTGGTTGGGTGTCCAAGTCGGAAGAGGAACCACGGGCGTTGCTTGCATCCGCTTCGTCGTCGGGCGCTCCGTGCACGCCGTCGCCGTCGAGGGTGCGCTCACGTGCTTCACTTGCCTCGGCGTCGGTGGCCTGAGCTGCGGCGGCTTCGTGAGTCGGCGGGTTGCCAGAGGCCGCGCCGCTTGTGGGGCCGTCTCGCGGGGGCGGGCTGGTCGACCGTGGCGTGACAGACGAGGCTCGCGATACCGCGGCAGTGACTTCAACGATGGCGGCGGTGGTGGCGGTGGTGACATCGGCGACTGCGGCGGCAACTGCAGCGGCGTAGTGTTCCTGTAGCAGCGGGTGTCGAAGGGGATGCACGTGCTGGCTCTCGGGGTCGTCGGGATGCGTGCGCGGAAGCGTGTGTGGGGCCTCATCGCGCGGGCTCCTGGTCGGTTGGCAACAGCGGAGGCACCACTGGGCCGTGGGTGAGTCCAGGACGCGCGCACAGATGCGGGCTCCTACGTGTCCGACGGCTCCTTGAGCGAGAAGCTTGGCGCCGACCAGGAGGAGGCCGCAAACCACTCCGCCTGTGGCGATAGCTCCGAGTTTGCCGCTGGCCCATTTCAGGGCGCCCCAGAGGCCAGACCCGACTGCGCTGGCTCCGCCCGAGACAATGTCTCTGAGTTTGGCGCTGGTCCACTTGAGAAGACCCCACAGGCGGGCGCGGCGTCGTATGCTATTGTGCGTCGGGGCGTAGTGGACACGGATGGGCCTGGTGCCGCAGCTTCACGGCGTCGTCGCTGCCGGTAGCTGGGGTCTCGGCTCGGTGTCGGCAGGTGCCCGTCGATCTGGTCCTGGTACGGCATGGCTACCAAGATGGCGTACGTGACACGAAGAGGCAGATGAGACAGCCGCAGCGTCGAGAGGCCGCTGCGCTGTGCGGGGCCTCATGGGAGCCGCTGGCGTCGGGGTCCGCGTCCTCGATGGGATCGTTGTCGAGGCCAGCCTGCCAGTGGTCGACGGGGCTGGAGTTGGAGTCAGTCGAGTTAGCTCGGCGGACAAGGGTGCGGGACGGGGTCCTGCCACCTGAGGTCTGAAGACGCCCAGGTCCAGCCAGTGCTGCAGCGGGGCTGAAGCCGCCACTGCGCGGGCTGGTGGGAGCTGGCGGTGCGGTGGCATGGCCTGGCTCGTCGGCGGCGGTGGCACCTTCGGCGTCGCTGAGCTGTGCGCTGGGGTCGGCCTGGGCCGAGTTGTTGGGCGCACTGCTGCGCGACCGGGAGCGCCCTGTGTGGGGATCGCTGTCACGGTCGCGCTGGGCAGCGTCACTTGGCGGTGGCGTGCCGTCGGGGTCCTGGGTTTCCGTGTCGTGGATGGAGTCGTTCTGGCTATCGTCCGACACGTGGAACGAGTCCAGGGATATGTTGCTGATATCGCTGGCAGCTGCGTGCTGGAGCAGAAGCGGTTCAGCGTCGGCCGCGGGCTGGTCACACGTGGCGTTTTGGGCGGGGGGGCCAGCGGGCGGTGGTAGGTTTAGCGGTTCCATCGGTGCCGCGGCGAGCTCCGCCTCGACAAGCGGCTGCAGGTCTGGCGGGTGGTGCGGGATCGCATCCACGAGATACGCCAGGGCGTCTTGGTCGGGCGGAGGGAGGCCTCTTGGCAGCAAGGCGTGGGCCCGTGAGAGGTATGGCGGCAGTGGTGCCGCGAAAGCCTCAGGGCCGACGAGCTGGGCACGAGCGCCCTGGTATTCCAGAAGGAGGCCAAGGTAGCGGGTGGGGTACTCGTGGCTGCCCTGAATACGAGTGAGGTTGCGGTTGGTGCGCTGTCTGTCGGGGCCCGCTCTGTGCCAGATATCCTCGCACATGTCGACCGCGGTGCGGTGGCGCAGGGCGTCGTTTTTCTCCGCGGAGTCCTCCTGGAAAAGGTGGTCGTACTGTGGCAGATGGAGCGTCGCCAGGACGTGCGGGACGCAGTCCTCGAGCCATGCCCAGTAAACGTCCTGATGGTCCTCACCTGGTGCCCACGCCGCGGCGCACGGGATGAGCCGTGCTCGGATGTTCATCAGGTGCCAGAAGGCGGGGTCCTCATCAGGTTCACCCCTGGCGCACAGAGGGGAAGCGGGACTCGCTGTGTTGCTGGTAGTCAGGCCGTGTGCGTGGGTGCTAAGCACGGCCATAATTAGCAGCCCACATAGCGTGTTGGGCTCCACGGTGATGCACAGGTAGGGCACGAGGAGCCAGATGGCTCGCAGCGAGGCGCCTGTGGTCTGTGGGGGCCACGGTGGAGCCGTCTGCGGCGCTGGCTCAGCGGCGTGGTTTCCTGCGTGGCACGGCCCACCGCTGTCAGTAATGTCGAAGCTGTCAGGTCGGCACGCTGTGGGGGTGCGACACTCTGGAGGGTACACGGTGCGACGTACGGCGGCAGGCGTCGTGGTCGGTGGTAGCTCTCGCAGGTGGTCGTGCGCGGCGTGCGTTGCCTCATGCGGTGGCGGTGGCAGCCAGGGCACTGCAGCGGGGCTGAAGCCGCCACTGCGTGCCTGGGCCTTGCCAGCGGCCCTGTCGAGGATATGCTGCGCGACGGTCGAGGACAAGCTGAAGACAGGGTGCCATCGAAGATATGCTGTACGACGGTCGACCGCAGGCGTCGTATTGAGTGATGGTAGCCCTCGTAGCTGAACTTGCATGCGGTGCGAGGCGTGGCCGGAGGACGCAGGAGTCAGCTCAGCTGCGGCAAAATCGGCGGTCGACTGCGATGCATGTGTCGTAGTTGACGAGGGCGTGCTCGTAGGAGACGTGCTGGTACTCGGCGTAGGCATAGTAGTAGCCGTCGAAGTCCCAGGGGGGCAGCGCGTGGGGCAGGGCCCCTGGTGCTGCTCAGGCCAGGCGCTCGCGGGGGCGCCCAGCAGCCCGGTGCCGCACGGACCAGCGGCGGCGGTGCTGTTCACGATCG